ATTGCGGCAGGGGGCCCGCCCAGACACAAGCCATTGCGGCAGGAGCCCAGCACCATCCTTTTCCCACGCCCCGCTCACCCTCTCCGAGCGATGGGAGCCTTCAGCTCAGAGCAAGGACATTTACTCACTCGCAAATATTCCTTTCGCTGCTTCCATGGCTGGGTTAAACCTCTGGCACAGGGGCATTAATGTGGTGCATGAATAAGCTTTTAAATGCCCCTGGGTGTTTGCTCAGCACCCATGAATCCAAGCCCCTGAGAGAGCCCATGCCCCACTGAGGAGGTGGAAGAGGAGCTGCAGGGAGGTGCTGGGGGTGGCACAGTAAATTGGGACAGAGTTAAAAAAGGTATCGACCTCTCCAAAATAACTAACCTGTGCATGGGACCCCTGCAAGGACACACACACTGCAAGGATGCATGGTGGTTCATGAGAAATTAAATTATATGCTGCTGTAGCTGCACCTCTGAGTTGCATCAGGAATGGGACATGACAGGGTTTTGGCCAAAGCATCAGCTCCAGAAAGGGTTAATGGCACACAAGATGTGTTTAGAGGGATTTGGTATTTTTTTTAACTCCAACAAACAAAGCATATGAGAAAATCCCGTTCACAGCTGAGCCCTGGCTGCCTGCCCACTAGGGCAGGGAAAATGCAGATGGTTTGAAATACCCACGCGCCTGCGTTTCTCCCGCAGCCCGTGGCTCAGGGTCCCTGGCAGGTCTCCCCTCGTCGTATTCAAGCTGGTTGAGGTGGCAGCAGCGCAAATTGCAATGTAAAAGCAGCACTGAGCCAGGAGAACATCTACTTTCCTCGAGTCTCATTGGCTTCCCTGGACCCGCGGAGGAGCCGGGATCCTGCGAGGCTCTGCTTGTTCAAAAATAGTAATTAGCTCTCAAAGTAAATAGGTGTTAACAGAAACAAAAAGCTTCGCCACTGTCTGAGTAAACACCGTAGAGTGAATCTAATTTCCCTTCTCCCAGCAGATGTAATCGCCCTGCTCTGCAATTATTTTCAGGTCGGGGCGGAGAATGAAGCCACCGCAGCGGCTCTGCAGAGCAGCTGCTCCTCAGTGGCGCCGGGGCAGCTGGAGGTGCCCACCACTTCACTGACATTTAGGTCCCCGAGGCTGAAACGAGCTTCCTTTTGACGAACCAGATGTGTAACGCAGCCGGCAATCAGCTAAACCAGCAGCTGACTGTAGCACGATGTTAAACCGCCCTAAACTCCAGCCTATTTCTTAATCCTTAGAGTCCCCCAGTCTAGACAGGACATGAAGGACTAATGTGAAAACCAAGCAACAGAAAATGTACACTCTCCTGTCAAGCTGAAAACAGAAAGAAGCATCAAAGGGTACAAATCCCTTTGGCCTTTTAATTTTTTCGCCTTTTGGGAGTGCAGGCAGCACCCAAGCACAGTCCTGCGCCGGTGCAGAATGTTTGCAGCCAGTTTGCATCACCGCATGCAGCTGCTTTCGGGTTGCCCATTTGCTCACTAAATCATGCTAAAAAGCAACTGAAAACCCATCTTTTCCCTACCGTCATGGGGAGCTGGTGAAATAGGCTTTTACCCAAACTGCCCCAAAAGCTAAGGAGTTTTTCCTCCACCACTGGTGGGTTAAAAGCAAACTTATAACTGGTGGCTGGGGCTCAGCTGATGCGGGATATCCCTGAAGGGTTAGGAGGTAATTCAGCATGTGATGGCAGCTGTAGTAAAAGCCTTTGCCGGTGATGGAGCGCTTCCCCACACTTCAAATATACCCAGCTGGGATGCAAATATAACCCAGCTGGGAACAGCCTGGCTTTGGGGCCAGACCCAGCAAGGTTTTCAGGTCAGCATAAAGCAGTCACGCACCCAGGAACAAGAACAACCAGAAAAATGTGCACAGTGGCTTCCCCAGCAGTTTCTGATCTCGTTCCGCCACGCTGCCCGTCTGCTGGGAGAGGGAGGTTTAGTTAATTAATTGCTACAATTAGCATGGAGCTATTCCTGCCCATGATGGTTACCTTTTCCTCCCATTTTTGGTGCATCCAATTACTGACTCATTCATTCTCCAACGCAGACGCTACAACAAGGCACAGAGAAGCTTAAGGATGAAGGGGTGAAGTCTAAGAAAGAAATGCCAAAGGTCCCAAGCTCTGTTTCTACCCAGGAACTGAGTTATTCTCATACGAACTCCTCATCCTCTCCCACCCATCAATCCATGGCTTCAAGGATGACACCAAACTGTGCTGGAATGCTGACCTGCTGGAGGGCAGGAAGGCTCTACAGAGGGACCTGGCCAGTCTGGATTGACGGTCCGGGGCCAACTGTGTGAGGTTCAACAAGGCTCAGTGCCGGGTCCTGCACTTGGGGCACAACAACCCCAGGCACCACTGCAGGCATGGGGAGGAGCGGCTGGAGAGCTGTCTGGCGGGAAAGGGCCTGGGGGTGTTGGTCGACAGCTGCCTGAACATGAGCCAGCAGTGTGCCCAGGTGGCCAAGAGGGCCAATGGCACCCTGGCTTGTATCAGGAATAGTGTGGCCAGCAGGACCAGGGCAGGGATGGTCCCCCTGTACTGGGCACTGGTGAGGCCACACCTCAAATCCTGTGCTCAGTTTTGGGCCCCTCACCCCAAGAAGGCCATGGAGGGGCTGGAGCGTGGCCAGAGAAGGGCAATGAAGCTGATGAAGGGTCTAGAGCACAAGTCTTAAAAGGAGCAGTTGAGGTGAGGGAACTGGAGATGTTTAGCCTGGAGAAGAGGAGGCTGAGGGGTGACCTTATTGCTCTCTACAACTGCCTGAAAGGAGGTTGTAGCGAGGCGGGAGTCAGTCTCTTCTCCCAAGAAACAAGCGATAGGACGAGAGGAGACGGCCTCAGATTGCACCAGGGGAGGTTTAGGTTGGATATTATGAAAAATTTCTTCCCTGAAAGGGCTGTCAGGCACTGGCCCAGGCTGCCCAGGGAAGTGGTTGAGTCCCCATCCCTGGAGGTATTTAAAAGCTGGGTAGATGTGGCGCTTAGGGACATGGTTGAGTGGTGGACTTGGCAGTGCTAGGTTTACACTTGGACTTCATTATCTTAAGGGTCTTTTTCAACCTAAATGATTCTATAAGGAGGTGATGAAGAGGGAGCACAGCAGTTACAAATATTGCTACGACTGTTTTATTTGTCCCTCCAGCTGACCCATCAGGAAGGATGGGTGATGGGCTTACGTACACTAAGACAGACAAGACTCCCAATACCCATCACACTGCAATGATCCCTCAACCTCTCCACCCAGCCTCGGGCTGTGGGTCCTTCAAACAAACATTATCTACTTTGGGAAATCGATGATTTATTCGTTGTTACTTAGCAGGGACGATGAAGCAAAGGTGAGCGTGGGGTCATTGCTTCGGTGAGCACCAAAGCAAAGCACCAGCCGTGAATAATTCATGCTCCCTTTTTTCTGCAGCATCTGGACACATCTGCTGCATTTGCCATCGCAGGCTTTTTCTCGTCTGACTCAGAAAATCATGCTTTGGCAGCTGGGTACTGTTTCAAGTGGGT